TGCGTAAACCACTCCTCCGCGTTATACATACTCATTTGCCGATGTTGTTGGGAAACCCATTGTTTCCATGCATGTTGCTTCATCTCTACGAATGGCGTATTGCCACGCTCACCGAGTGCACGCTGCCCGTTGTTTGCGTCTGCCAGCATGTGCTCACGCAGATATTGTTTCCAATCCGCTTTTAAGTGCAGAAACCAGGGCTGCGTCGTGCACTCTCCCACAATATGTTTGTTGCGGTCAATCCAGTTAATCCATTGTGTGCACTCCGACGGCGCGTGCTCGGGGTTGGAATGAGCATTCTGTGCTGCATCTAACTCGATATGTTCCATAGAACTCCATGGATCGGGGTCCTCGTCGTTACGTGGACATGCATCAGGTTCGTCGGAATAGGTGGGTGTATCCCGCGTGCGTGAATCGGCGTTTGTTGTTGAGTCCTGGGTTGCGAAACCGTCGTCTGGGGTGCAGACATCCGAGCTACTTGTACACGTGGTGTTGCCCGCCATAAACTGTTCAACGAGTAGTTGCAAATAGTCGTCTTTGACGTTTTCCCACTCGGTTGCTGCACATTCGTTCAGCACTTCTAAGTGTAGCTCGATGATCGTGCGCTTATGCACGCGTGGGGGGCGGCCTCTACCGGATGTGGACGCAGGTTGCGTAACCATGGTGTACCCGTAATCGGCTGGTGGCAGGTCGCCTCGTTGTAGATGTTGCAATATTTCTTCGTCGAGTGGCGGTGACGGCACGTCACGAACGGTTCGATATGTTCGTCGTCGTTTTTGTCCGAGGAAGGCAAAGTACTAAGCAGAAAACGGGGGGTAAAGAGGAGGGTGAGGACGGTAGGATAAAAGGAATGAACGCGGGCGTAGGGGCATATTGGTGCGAACGATCATATATTGGAGCCGGTAGGGAGTTTCTGAGGTATAAACATCCGGCACATGCAGCATGCCCTGATTGCCATATATACTTACCTTCCAAAGGGAATAACCAAGAAGGGCCACGATGACGGAAGCGAGAAAAAACAGGATGGGAGTAGTGGCGGTAAGGACCGTGCCGGTTAGGTCGGGGACAGCTTGGCTAACGTCTCCTGGACCGTGTTTGTCAGTGGATGAGCCCGATACGGTTTCGCCTGGGGTTGGTGGTGCAAAACCTCCTGCTGCGCCCCCTACGTCAAGTGCCTTTGGAGCCAGATCAAGTTCGAACTGTCCACTTCCCCCTATGCCCCCACCTCCGCCACTTCCACCTGCTCCACCACCGGCTGCGGCACTACCGGATTCACTGATGCCGCCACTACTACCCGATTGATCCGGATTTGGATCCGGTTTTGGTTTGGGTGGATTGAGAGGAGGGGGGTCATCGTTGCCGCCATCGACGACGGCATTGCCTGAACATGTTGTGAATGGGGAGACAGGGAAAGGGAAGGAAGAAGGATGTGATGAAACTGAACTTTTGGGCGGTGCATAGTTGTTTGGTGGACCACACGGTCAGCTACACGCTTGTTAGGCGCCGTTTCACTGTTGACCCAGAGGGGCAGGGTACGGGGCAGGAGACGGACGGGGATGGGAGCACGGGGGCAGGAGACGGACGGGGGCAGGAGACGGACGGGGGCAAGGTGCCACTCCGGGAACAAGACTCTCTCTCTGTCCGACACACAACACACAACACACAACACACACACACAGCGCATGTGTGTGTCTGTCTGTCGACGTCTCTACGTCGCTGCCCCTTGCTGTCTCTGCCCCTCATTCTCATTCGACGTTTGGTTTCTCTCTCTCCGTGTTATGTCTCCGTCTGGCCGGAAATGTTGTTTCTGTTTTTTTCTCTTTGTTTTTGTTGTCGAAATTCACTCAGGACACTACCTTCCTGTGGGTCTTCGGGTTGCTTCTTACAGTCACCATTATCCTCCGAGCTAGGTGCAATGGAGATAGTGATACTCGATTTGGCACCCTTGAGTCCCCAGCCTGAGTTCTCAGATGTAAGTACCGTGGCTTGCCTCGAACACTTACCTCTCTTGTCTCCTTGTTCACGCGGCCCCGCGTCTTTCGTTGCTTGTGGAGGAGGTTGCGGGGGTTGTTGTCCAGGTCCTGGTCCTTGACCCGGTCCTTGTTCCGTTGATCCTGCGCCTGATCCTGATGGTGCCTGTGGTAATACTGGAGATGCCGGTACGTGTGGTTGCCCGTCAGTGCCTGCTGTGCTATCGTTCCTGCCTGCTGATGATGGTGAGGAAGGTGTGTCTGCCTTTTTGTTCTCGTCCTTGCTGTCTGCACTAGTGACCTTGGGTTGCTCTGGTACCTTCACGGGTGGCACCTCTGGTTTCTTGGGTGGCGGAACTGGAACTTTTTTCTCTGTAAAAGGATAATAATGATTAAGATTATATGTACATTCTCCCATCCATCACTAACAATAGGAAGAGAGAAGGCAAGAAGTATTGCCCACTGCAGTCCGCACAGACTTCCCAGGTGTGCACGCTTCCTTCTCTTCCTTCCTCCATGCCTGCTTGCTTAATGTCTACATGCACTCTTTCTCACCGCCGCTCCATCCCACGCACCACGGTGACGGCGTTGTCGCACCGCACAAACACCTCGTCTGCGCTAGTCGCCGCTACCGATACACACACCTCGTCTGCACTCGTCTACACTTCGTCGTCGCCACCGCTACCACTACCGTCGTGGCCGCCGCGTGCGTGTTGTTGTGGTGGCGGCATCCGTATGCGCAGTCGTATCGGTTGCGGCCGCCTATTGATGCTTTCTCCCATCGGGCCTTACCTGTCGGTCCCTGTGGTGGTGTGCCGGTTGCGTGTATGGAGTCGCTATGATCTGTAAACAATGGCAAAAAGTTGTAAGGAATGCGTAGGTTATGTTGTGCTGAGTGACCTAGAATCCAGGAAGGTGTGGTGCTATGTTGTTGCGTTCTCCTCGTCTTGTGTTTTCATCCCGTCCTACGTTATCCGTTCCCGTCGCACTGCTCTATGCTCGTTCCCCCGTCCTTACCTTGCACCTGAATGTCCTCTCCGTGGCCGTTCGCGTTGCGTTCTATTTCACGCATTACGTCGTGCAGTACACCTTTCGCTGTTCCTTTATCCTTCGCGGCCTGCATTATGCGTTGTCGGTGGTGTGCCGTTATTGTCGCCTTCTTCTGTATTAATCCCGCTACTTCTCTGGCAGTGCCGTCCTGGAACAGTGTCACTACATGCGCGTCTTCACTATCTGTCGTCGCTCTCGCCTTCGTTATACTTGTTGGTGCAGCACAGGAGGTCTGTGCCTTTGACCCACTTAACGCTCCACGGGATGTTATGCTCCACTTATTTATCCATTCACCCATCGTTCCGGCCACAAACTTCGTGCCAATTCTCAGGCTATCATAATCAAGGCCCTGACATTGTTGGCTATTACTGTGCCCCGCAAGTGCTTTACTTATTGTACTCATTTTCCGTGACACCTGATTTATAATGTCCGTTGCTGCACAGTTCTTCTCAAATAACTTTATTAATGTCACATTCCCTACCACACATTTGAAATAGTCCCTCCAGCTCTTCTGCTCGGCATTTAGTGTTGTCACACCCGTGACTACTTCTGCCGTCCCATCCATGTATACAAATATGTTCACGATGTACCCGCATATCATCCTCTGTAGTGCGAACTTCATGGCTTTCCCATAGAGTGCCGCGCAAACCGCACGCTCCATAGGAGTCTTGTCGCTCAATGTATCAGTCAGCTGCGTGAATAGTTGTTTTATGTCGGCCCAGAGCATATCCTGTAAATATAACAACACATGTCCATAAATATACACACTGTGTACCTGTGCCTTTCCTGACTGTTCCTAACACAGAATCAATGCTATTCTCCTGACATATATGGTTCACTGTGGTGAATCAGCAACATGACTTTATAATGCATGAATACTCATCGTGCGCCCAAAATACATTTTATACTTGTCTTTGTATACAATGACCACTATACACTGAATTATCCTATTCGCTTTTTATAATCACTTACACTGAATTCACTCTTCCTTCCTTGGCCTTCTCCCGTATCAGATGCTATTTGTCTCTGTCGTACATACTCCACGAAGACTTGTGCCAATTTGTCAGCCATGATGTTATTGCTATGCTCATATATAATTCCACTTCCGCTGATATTACCATGACGTCATACTAACCCAATACCTGCGTAAATATCTTAATATTGCATATATTCATTCTTCACCCTATGTGGACTGAGAACATATGCACACAGTAAGTTGTGAATGTGCCGTTGGACACTTAGCCGCTGATTCTAGTATTGCACCATGAATTGTACATAGTACTAACAGACAGATAAACATAAAGTAAAAAAAGCAAAAAAAAAAAAAAAAAAGGAAAAGAAATATAAAAAACACTACTCACTGTCATGCATAACGCCCGCTCCCCCCTTTCTACACCGGTCTCCACTAAACGCCTGCACACACTGTCTCTCTGTGTGCGTACACTAAACCCCTTGTACACGTAAAAACCGCCGTAACAACAACATGAATTTCTGCTTCCGTCGTTGCTGCCGTCGTGGCTGCCGTCGTGGCTGCCGTCGTTGCGGGTCCTTGTTCGCCCTCCCACAAAATATGTGTGTTCCGTCAGCTCTCCAGCCCGCTCGCTGGAGCCGTGCGAGGCTGCCGCGGCGGATCGTGCACTGAAAGCAATTACTCTGAGAAAATGGCTCCTCCTTCTTACACTCGGCTACTGCGTCGAAGCGTGGTTACCAGCGGCCGCGTTGCTCGACGCGTGTGCTCGGAGAGACAATCCTCCTCCTTCTGACACTCGACTACGTCGTCGAATCCGTTTTACACTCGACGACAATGCGTTTACACGGCCGCGTTGGTCGAAGCGTTTGCTCGGAGAGACAATCTCTCCTCCTTCGTGCACGCGGACAATGCGTCGTCGAATCCGTCTTGCACTCGGCTACCTCGTCGAATCGTTGTTACAATCGGCCGCGTTTACGCGGCCGCGTTTGCTCGGACAGACAATCTCTCCTTATACTCGAATGCTTATTCGCGTCCTATATTTGTTCTGCACTATGCCCTTTGAATGCACGTGCTGAGCTTTTAATAATTAACTTCACATAAAGGAGAATTCTACCCGTGCATAGTATTCATTTAAATCTACATTTTATATGCATTGGACCTGTACCACCCTGTTCCTATGGTCATGTTAAAAGAAGTGGACTACACAGAAAAAGAACAAAAGCAAAGCAAAAGTAAGCACAAGCAGAAGAGCGCAGCAAAAAAAAAAAGACGGTATGTAATAGTACAAACAAGAAATACATTATGTATATCACATAATGAAATAAAAGGGGTGTACCGGTAGCATGCGTTATGTTGCATGCATATGCCCCGTCATCCTAATGTCAGAGCTGTTCCAATAGATCATCCAAATATAACTCCGTATCCTGCATACCCCTGACTTCATCC